ATTCGAGATTCGGGAGATGAGAATTAATGTTTAGGTCTAGTTTCAATAGGCAGGTTAATTTATAAATGGTTAAGTCGAGATTCGAGATATGAGATTTAATACCGGTAAATTAATTCTGTGATTGTAATACGTAGCGAAAGCCCTTTATGATCTGATTAATTGATGCATTGATGATTGATTGTTATGTTTTACCCTGGAATATTGTTTATTGGTGAACCTATGCCCTAGGTCTTTTATTCATTGATTTTCTCTATTCTTATTCTTCTTTACTTTTACTCTCCGTAGTTTAGTTTCCTTTCACCATAATATTATTTTGTTACTTAATAATTTAGATTGCTTTAATTAATTAGGAATAGAAAGACCAGTTTCCCTGTGGATTCGACCATACTTCCCTATCTGTATTAGTTAGAGGATATAGGAATTACTTTAGATTGGGTGATACGACTTGAGCCTGTCAAAATTTTGCGCCGTTACCGAGGAAACGGTTTTATTTTTATTTCTGATTGTTTTGTGTAGTCTAGGTTATTTCTTCTTGTGTCAGAGAACATTAGTTCTTTGAGGCAAGGGTCATATTTTCTTTTGGTTCTTTGTCTATGCCTAGGTGTTCCAGATCAGATTATATCCCATTCGATCCTGAGATCGAACGATCTTTCCATAGACAAAAGAATTTTTACAGGAAAATCCTGGCGGGTTCTGGTGATAATAATAATCGCCGAGACCCTCCAACTAATCCCAGCGACTCAGAGATACCTTCAGATCCAGAATCAGAGATGGCGGTACCTAAGAAGCTCAGTGATTATTCACAGCCAAAGCTTACAGATTTTCCACACCTTACTCCCACTCCGGCTCTTGATGGGGTACAATTCGAGATTAAACCCCAATTTATCACGATGATAGAAAGGAAGCAATTCAGTGGAGCTAAGGGTGAAGACCCAAATCATCATATTGCAGACTACTATCAGTATTGTAATACCATCAGGAAAGTTGGCCTGGGGTCACACAGAACCAAATCAGGGAGATTCTCTTTCCTTTCTCTTTATGTGAAAAAGCCAAATTATGGTTTAATGGATTAAATAGAACTGCACTTGGTATATAACTGATGAGGAGACTCTTGTTTTAAATTTTTATAATAAATATTATCCAGGAGAGAGAACAACTGTACTAAGGAGTCCTATTCAGAACTTTGCCCATGAGGCCGATGAAACTCTATATGGGGCTTGGGAGAGGTTCAAGGATCTACAGAGAGAATGCCCCCACCATAATCTGGCACAATGGCAGTTGATCCAGGCATTTTACAATGGGATTGGAAATTCATCTAGAATAATATTGCATTCTACACCTAGTGGGAGGTTTATGACCCTTAATGTTGATGATGCAGGTCAAGTTATTGAAGATATGGCAATTCTTAATTCCCAATATGGGAATCCCAGAGGCTTTGCTAACAAAGGGAAACATAGTGTCGACTCTGTATCCTTTTTACAAGTTCAATTAAACTCTATTTGCCAGAAATTAGATAATCTTAGTACCGCAAATGTAGCTAATGTTTCTGCAGTTAATAATAATGCTAATGAGGCTTTCTGCGAAAATTGTGGAATTATAGGTCATTGGGAGCAAGATTGCAGGAGTTCTGTGGAGCAAGTCAATGCCTTTCAAGCTTATAGGCAGAATGACCCATACTCCAACACCTACAGGTCTGGGAACTAGAATCATCCATATCTTTCCTCCTGGAGCACCAATGTTCAAAATCCGCCACCTCCACAAGAATCACAAGCACCACCACAAACTCAGCAGAAATATTACCACCCCAATGCTGGCCAAAAGAACCAACCACAATAACCCTCCTCATCTTTCGACCCTGCTTTGGTAGAAATTAGAGCGATGCTGGCTAGTATGCAGAAGCACATGGAGAGTAGAGATTCCCAAATTGATTCGATCATAACACATAATAAAATTGTAGATAATCAAATTGCGCAGATTTCTGCTACTTTACAAGCCCGTCAACAGGGAGCCCTACCAGCACAGCCAACCAGGCCTACGGATCAAGCTTATGCAATTACTCTAAGGAGTGGTTCACACTATGAAGGGCCCCCTATGCCCAGAGATGATGAACCTGTTTTAATAAATAATGTTAATCCTGATTCCATTAAACGTGACAATGTAGCTAATAGCCTTGCAGGGCTAAAGAGTAGCATTAATATTTCTGATAATACATTATAGGGTACGACTCCAGGGAAGGTAGAAGCTCCAAATAAGAGCAGTAATGCTCCAAAGCCAGTTATCAAACTTCAATTCCCCAATCGTCACTTGAAAACAAATTTGGATAAGCAGTTTGGTAAATTTTTGGAGATGGTTAAAGATTTGCAGGTAACAGTTCCCTTCACTGAATTAATTACACAAATTCCTACATATGCAAAATTCATGAAGGAAATATTGACTAGAAAAAGGTCTATTAGTGAGTTAGAGATAGTAGCTTTAACTACCGAATGTAGTGTCGTACTTCAAAATAAATCTCTACCTAAACTGAAAGATCCGGGTAGTTTTTCTATCCCTTGTCATATTGGCAATCTAATGATTGATAATGCATTATGTGATTTGGGTGCTAGCGTTAGTGTTATGCCATTGTCTGTGTGTTCCAAGCTAAATATGGGTAAATTAAAAGCTACTAATATTACTCTACAAATGGCCAACCGTTCTTTTAAATACCCCTTAGGTGTTTTAGAGGATGTTCCTGTTAGAGTAGGTAAATTTTATATACATGTTGATTTTGTTGTTCTTGATATGACTGAGGATATGCAAACCCCAATTATTTTGGGTAGACCATTCCTTAAAACTACAGGAGCAATTATAGATGTGAGATGTGGAAAATTGACGCTATCAGTCGGGGACGATAAAATTACTTTTAATCTGAATAATACCCTTAAAAGCCCCATGACACAGGAGAAGTGTTTTAGTGTTAATGTGGTTCATAATTATTCTAACAAGCCCCAAGCTATTGTAAAAGATCCCTTGGAGGCGGTGTCTTGTGTTGCACCCTCTACAGATGAAATAGACAAATGGAAAAGGGAAGTTGATGCAATAGAAAGAGCCCTCTACACTGTCGGTCTCGGCTTTGAAGATGAGAAGGTGGAAATAAACAAGCAAGTTGTGGAAATTGAGCCTACAGTAAGTGTTCCGCTAGATCGAGTTGCAATTGCTAAATCTAGTGACAATTTGAAGCAACCATCGATCGAAGAGGGATCATGTAATACCCCGTATTTTCATACGTATTTTCCTAATTAATTAATCAATTATTATTATCTAAAAAGGGTATTTTAGTAATTTAACTTACTATTAAAATCTTGGAGCCAAAATGATATTTGAATTTTGGCGCCAAAAGTATTTTAAAAATAAATTATTATTTTGGATAAGATTTATTATCCATTTATTTTATTTTAAAAACCGGATTATTTATATATTTTGGATATTTTAATTAAGGCAAAAGCTATATTTTATTATTATTTTAATAAGTCCGAAAATCTCATTTATTTGACTAATATATTTTGGATTTTCCTATGAGAAAATCTGATTTTATTAGTTAAATTATTTGGTGAATATTTGGTATTTTATTATTTAATTATTTATTACAATAAATATTATATACAGAATTATTTTTAATTCCTTAAATCTAGCAAAATAATTTCCTAAATACTAAATAGGAGGGCCGAAAATATGAGATTAGGAAAGCTAAAAAATTTCGGCCATCCCATGTAGATTTTGGGAAAAATATTTTGGTAATTTGTATTTTTAATTATCTCCTTAAAATCTACTTTTTCTTAATTCTAATTCTCCATCTTTTTAATATCCAATCATTATATTTACTTGCCATTCATTCTTCTTAATTATTCCCAAAGTAATTCCAATTTCCTTAATATTTTTCATGACATACATACCTTCCATATTCAATTATACACAATCTCTTCAATATTAAAACTTTCCTTAAATCTTTACTCACTTCTCCAAGTAATCCCTTAAACCCTACTTACCATAATTCTTCCTACATTTTCCTACCATAATTCATGATCATACTAGCCTATAAATTCCCCTTCAAACCTCTCACATTCTTCACACCAATTCTCTTCCTTTCTTCTCCTCAATTTTACATAAATTATCCCGTTTATCTTTGAGGCCAATTGTCGGGAACTTCTGGTCAGTTTTGGGGTATTGATGTTTCACAAAAAATTGTTCCTCTCAAAAAATACTTGAGGTTAGGCTCAAGAATTACCCAATTCAGAGTTATAACGAAGGTGTTATAGCCTCTGCAAGTTCTGCCTCCTTTTTCCAACGCAAATCCAATTCTTCTTTCTCCTTGGTTTCTTACACTTCTTCTCCTTTTCTCATATTCAATTATTATTATTATTATGGGAGATTAATATAAAATTATTATGAGTAGTTTTAATTATATAAAATCAGATTTTAATGATGTTTATGTTGAATTAATTTAAAAGGTACATGTACATATAGTTGGGAGGGTTTAATTATATTGTTTGTGATTATTTGATAGCCTTATATTAATTAAGGTTATATCTATTTGTAGGGTTTTTTTTTTTTTTTTTTTTTTTTTTTTTTTTTTTTTTTGGAAAATAAGATTTGATTACCAAAGAGAGAAAGTTACAACTTACAAAAGCTAAGTTATAACTACCACCAGAACACCACAAGACCTGAAAAAACAGGCCAACCCCAAAACCAGTTCTAGATCCAAACCTAGCCACCTTCTAGGAAGGGCCTAGAACAACCGGACTCAGATTTCCAGCCACCTTCTTGGATGGGTTCTGGAAACCAGGACCAGACAACAACACAAGCAATAAACAACAAAGCCATACACTCAAAAATCACCAAAAACAACAATCAGAAGCAGACATGCCTGCAAACTGACCAGTAAAACCAACAAAAACAAAAACAGGCAGCAGCAAAGCACTAGGGTGAGGCCAACAGCAACCAGCAGCAAACCAAACCCCCTTCTGCTAAACAGCAGCACAAAACAACAACCTGGCACCATCAGAACAGCAGTGTAGCAAACCCCAACAACAAGCAGTAGATAGCAGTGCAGACAGCAGTGTAGACATACATCCAGCATGCAGACCAGCAGGGCAGAAAGGCAGCAGTGCAGACAACAACAAGCAGTAGACAACAGAGCATAAAGCAGGCAGACAGTCAGCAGACAGACAGTCAGCAAAAAGCAGGCAGCCAGTCAGCAGACAGCAGAGCATAACAGTCAGCATACAGCAGTGCAGCAAGCAGCAGACAGCAGTGCAGCCAGCAATGCATAGCAGTGCACAGCAGCACAGACCAGTGCACAGCAATACAGACAGCAGTGCACAGCAAGAAGACATCAGTATGCAGGAAACAGTAGAGCAGATAGCAGGCAGGAAGAAACAGCAAAGACAGCAGAAGCAACTGGGATACATAACAGCAAGAAAACAAGACAGAGAAAACAAAAAAACCCCAAGAAAAGAAACCTGAACGCAAACACTAGAAGCCAGAAACAAGCTCCTAAACGATCAAATATTTGCTTCCTGCCAAGATTCTACAAACTGAATGAAAGACAATATCCCTAACTAGAGCATCAACAGATTTGCAACAACCAGTAAAGAGAACTACATTCCTTTGTATCCAAATACCATAAACTGTTTCAGTGAAGGCCACCTGGATCACTTTGTTTTTCAACCTGGAACTTCTGCAGATTTTCTTCATCCAATCAACCTCATCACTAAACTGCTGAACAGGCTTGGAAATCCGTAAGATACCCAACACCTTGCTCCAAACCTTCCTAGAGAATTCACAATCAAAAAATAAATGTTGAACACTTTCATTGCTATTCAGACACAAGAAACACTTTGGATCACAAGAAATGTGCCTTTGAAGCAACCTATCCTTAGTGACAAGCCTATTCCACAAAGCTACCCACAAGATAAACACACTCTTAGGAGTTGCTAAGTTTTGGCAAATAACTCTCTTCCAAGGAACTTTAGGCACTTGAGGCCTAATAGCAGCATAAAGCTTCTTGATTTTCAACTTGTTACCTTGTATGAAACCATCCCATCCCCCTTGATCATTCACAACATCTTTACAACTCAAAATCTTCTTCAAGAACCAAGAGCATCTAGCAGGGGTAGGGGTGGTCCAACAATCTTTATACTTGAAGTAGTAGATATGGACCCACTTAACCCAAAGATTATCAGCCTTGTGAGTAATATCCCAAAGTAACTTAGTGACAGCTGCTTTATTCCACTCGGGAAGAGAAAGCAAGTTCCAGCCACCACGGAATTTAGGAAGACAGACATTATTCCAAGCAACCAAAGATTTCTTAGCAGAGGCAGAGGATCCAGTCCAAAGAAAACACCTGAACCTAGCCTCAATCTCTTTCAGAATTTTCTTCGGTAAAATAAAAATTTGAGCCCAATAAGTCTGAATACCAAACAACACACTCTTCACCAATTGAAGCCTCCCAGCATAGGACAAGTGTTTAGCCATCCACCCTTGGATTCTAGCAGTGACCTTCTCCACCAAAGGCCTACATTGAGCAATAGTAAGCTTCTTGGAAGAGAGAGGGACCCCAAGATACCTAAAAGGAATGGTACCTTGAGAAACACCAAGAAGCTCCCTCAACTCTTTCTGAATATCAGCAGAGACCCCTCCAAAATAGACCTCACTTTTATCAAGATTAGCAGAAAGCCTGAAAGCACCCGAAAATTTCGAGAAGGCTTGGAAGAGAAGCTTAACAGAAACACTACCAGCTCTAGAAAACATCAGTAAATAATCAGCAAACATCATGTGAGTTAGGTTTTACTTTTTACATCTAGGGTGAAAGTTAAAATCAGGAGTTAACCTAAGCTCATCAAGGCATCTGGAGAGGTATTCCATACCAATAGCAAAGAGAAAGGGAGACATAGGGTCACCTTGTCTTAACCCTTTCTTAGCTTCAAAGGGAGGGGCAGGAAAACCATTAATAAGAATAGAGTAAGAGACAAAAGTAAGACAAGTCCAGATCCAACCAACAAATCTCTGAGGGTGTTCTTGATCAAGCTACTTGAGAGTTCTTTTGAAGTGATTTTTGGCTAAGCAAGGATCAAGGTATGTTAGGTGGCTGGATACGTTGAAAGTGATCGATTTGAATGAACATGTTTGAATGATTTATGTTGCTTGAATTAAATTATGGTTTATGTAATAAAAGTATGCTTAAAAGATTGGTTTTAATAATTAAATTGGAGATTTTAATAACATGTTTTGATTAATTAATTTATTATTCATGTTTAAAAAGGCATTGATTTTAAAAGCAATGTTGAATTTATTATAAAGGAGTTTGGATTGTTTTCATTAAAGGTTGAATTATTGGATTTAAAAGAGGATTTATTGAATCATTGAATTATTATTATTATTAATGCTTTATAAGCATGTTAGTAATCCCACTATGCGGATTTGGTTTATTGATAAGGCCTTGGACTTTGTATAACCGGGTCTTTCCTCAAGAATAGCCTTGTAACATGAAGAGACTAGCTTGGGGGGTGTGCACACTTGGGAGAGGAATTGGTTTAATTTCTTTCATTGGTTTATTATGAGGAATTGGTTTTTATAATATGAGGAATTGGTTTTAAAATAATTGGCATTGGTTTTATTGATTATTGAGATTGGAATATTTGGATTGATTATTGGAACTGGTTTTAAAGCATTTTTGCAAATAAATTGAGTTTAATTATCTTGCACTTACCGTACTTAGCATATTTTGCTAACCCGTACTTCTTATTTGTTTTGGTTCGCCCTGTTTACCGTAATTGTAAGCAGTGTTATTTCAGGTGAAGTGAATAAAGTGATGCATGGAGTCCTGGGATTTGGTTTCACTAATTTAGGAATCTTGGTCTTTGTATTTAATTTGAGTACTCATGACATTGATTTCTATTTATAGTTATTATTAATAAGAAGAGTTTTGAAGTTTCCGCTGCAATGTATTATTTTGTATAGTAAGTTGAGTAGCCTTACATAATCACACGGCGGTAATACGCCTAAGTCTATCTCTACGGTTTAATTATACGTATTATGCTGGTATTTCCGTAGAGGGAGATTTGGGGGTGTTACAAAGTGGTATCAGTTTTCAAGGTCCTAAAAAGATTAAAATTGGAATAGTAATTAAAATTGTAGGTAGACTTAAGAGGACATATAGGGTAGATAGAGTTTCGCATTTGTGTGTGAGTCAAAAGCCTTATTTAACTTAAAAAACTATTTTCCTATTTGCGGAAAGATGAAGGAGAAAAGGATTCTTGAGTTCTCTACGGAGGCCTATAATGGGTACGACTCTCTGTCTAGGAAAGACTCGCCTCAACGTCGTAGGTAACTTTCCTGGGAGATGCGGGCTCGACCGTCCTTTAATCTTGATTCAAGTACATATTTATTATTTTTGAAAATAAAAAGAATTGAAATTATTTAAAACTTGATTATGCGATTATGTGTGCATTAAAGTTGGTGTTAAAACACCTTGAAGTGAGTATAGGGGGGTCCGAAATTTTGGAGTATTACCCATGGTTGGGTGATTTTGAGTTATACTTGGTTTATTGAGTTATGAATTGCTTATTGCAAATGGATTTTGAATTGGATTGTTTGTGTGATTTGGCATTTAATTAATTATTTTGCATGTGTGTGTGAAACAGATGGAAAAGATAGATCAAATAAGACATCTATATTTTGACATTCATTACTTAAAAGTTAGTGGAGTCTCAGTTAGTGAGGTCATGACTGGAATTTTTACTTTGGCCTTGACCCTTTATTAGAAGGATGGTGAGGAAGTTTTGACCCAACAACCTTGGATGGTCCTTTTGGCTTTGGCCCATTTACCTAGGATTAAGAAATACCAACCTCTCTTTGACAAATATGGGGATTTGATCAAGGAAGACGGAATGTGGAATGAGAAGCATCATCATGAAGGGAAATGGTTGGCAACCATGTCTAGCCTTAAGAGGGACTTGCACTATGTGGAGCGCAAGTATGAACCTAGTAGGAAAGATGTGAAGATTCCCACGATCCCAAAAGATTGAACCTTTGGACCTAATGACCAAATGTACTTCTTAAATGCCAAAGTAACTTTTTCATACCCAAAGAAGCGACATGAGTATGTGGAATCTAGTGATGAGTCCATACCACCTCTTGGTAGGAGCAAGCATTACCGTTCTCTTAGCCAAACTCCAAGCTATGAATCTTCCAAACAACCTAGCCTAAAATCTCATTTCCATGTTGCAAAATGGCCCAGAACTCGTTCTCAAACTGCAAAAGAAACACCCCAAAACCCCAAAGCTTCTTCAAGCCAACCTCGTGGGGATTTAAGCCCAACAAAAATCCCAAGTAACACTCCTGGCCCCGACAAAAATATAAGTAAATCTGGGTCAAGGTCATCAGGCCTTATTCTAAGCTATAGTGGTTATAACCCAACTCTCATAGCCGAACCAAGTAATAGAAGTGATGATCCGGATTATGATCCTATTGAAGATGGTTATGCTCATATTATTATTTGATTGATTGATTTTTGAACTATGTTTTTGTTTCATGTTTCAATAATTGTCCTAAGTGACAAAGTTGTATTTTCATCAATTATTAATGAAATAAAATGAATTATTTGAAATTTCTATATGTTGTTAAGTGAATTAAATGCTTATATGATAAAACTTGTCTTAATTCTCAAAGTGTGGTAATTAAACCCAGGACAGGAAGTATGTCTCCAAGAATGAGGGATCAATTAAGGAGTAAGCGCACTGGTTCCAAAGTTGGAAAGGTCCTTAAGCAGTTAACCCATATTATTGAGAACATCACGAAAGTGGTGAAAAGGGAAAATCGAAATCCCAAGCTTGATGCTTATAGTGAAGTCTTTAAGAGAGTAGTTGCAGCTAAACCACCTGTTTACTTAGGATGGGAGGACCCAGCCAGCCTTGAAAACTGGATTAGGGAGTTTGACAAGATGTTTGATGCTATTAATTGCCCAAGTGACCTGAGGGTGGACAATGGGGTTTGCTACTTGAGGGAGGAAGCTGACTTATGGTGGGTCCAAAGAAAGGATGAGTTGCTGAAAAGACCAAGCTTTGGGTGGGATGAGTTTAAGGAAGCTTTGAGAGAAAAGTTTTACCCTTTCTACCTTAGAAAGCAGAAGTGCATGGAGTTTACCAACCTGAGAATGGGAAACATGTCAATCAGTGAATACTATAACAAGTTTATTGAGTTGATGAGGTTTTCCCCAGAAGTAGTCCCTACTGAAACCATCAAAGCTTAGAGATTTGAGCAAGGCCTAACCTTGACCCTCCAAGGGAAGCTAGGGGGAGTGACTTTTGAGACCTTAGATGAAGTCTATGGCCGTGCATCCCATCTATACGGAATTAAGGAGAGGTAGATGGAGCCGGTAGGAGAGAAAAGGAAGAACCCGGACTCTTTTCACGGGGGTGAAAAGAGGCACAAGCCTAATGGGAATTACCAAGGGAATTCTGGAGACAGGAGGGACAACAAGGGAAACTTTGGGAAGGGGAATGGAGGCCAGTCATCCAACCATAAGGGGAATGGGAACCAAAGGGGTGAGAAACCTAAGAGGAGGTATTTTTGCAAGCGGTGTCAGAAAGAACTCTTAGGGAAGGACTGTGAGGGAAACCCGGTAACTTGTCGTTACTGTCAGAAGTTGGGACACCGTGAGTATGAGTGTTTCAAGAAGGAAGTTGAGGCACAAGACCAATGGGAATTACCAAGGGAATTTTGGAGACAGTAGGGATAACAAGGGAAACTATGGGAAGGGGAATGGAGGTTATTCGTCCAACCATAAGGGGAATGGGAACCAAAGGGGTGAGAAACCCAAAAGGAGGTATTTATGCAAGCGGTGTGAGAAAGACCACCCAGGGAAGGACTGTGAGGGAAACCCAGTAACTTGTCGTTACTGTCAGAAGTTGGGACACCGTGAGTATGAGTGTTTCAAGAAGGAAGCTGATGTTAATTCTAGGAAGGTGAAAGAGTCTAGTGCACCTAGTAAACCACCTCAGCCTAGTGGACCTACAACCAAGGCTAGAAACAGTAGCGGTGCGGGAAGTGCCCCAAAGGGTCGTGTGTTCGTGATGAATATCCGTCAGGCTGAGTCTTCTAATGATGTGGTAATTGGTGTTTTCTTTATAAGTTCTTTTCCTGTGAAAGTCTTGTTTGATTCAGGGGCGTCACATTCTTTTATTTCTAAGAAAGTAGTTGGGAATCTCAGTTTAGAGAATCCTGAGTTGGTTTCTCTAGATGTGTCTATTCCGTCTGAGGAAGTAAGGAGTTGTTCAAGTTTGTTTTTGAGTGTGCCTATTTCCATCTCTAGGATAGAGTTTCTAGCCGATTTGATCGAGTTTGACTTGAATGACTTTGATGTGATTATGGGAATGGATTGGTTGGGAAAGTATGAAGCAAAAATTGATTGTGCGTCTAAAAAGGTAACCTTGACTAGCCCAAGTAAGACCAAAGTGGTGTATAAAAAGGAAGGGAAAAGCTCAGGGTTGAGATTCGTGTCTGCAATGCAACTACAAAAGCTGGTTAAGAAGGGTTGTCCTTTGTTTTTGTGTAGTGTTCAAGAGGTTGAAAGTGAGGAAAAGAAAGGTGAAGAAGGTATTCCTGTTGTAGAAAAGTTTCAAGATGTGTTTCCAGATGAGATTCCGGGTGACTCTGACCCAGTTTGGGACCTCCAGAGTATAGGTCAGGCTTTAGGTCGTATTGAGCATTCCCACATTGACCTTAGGAGGATGGTAGGATCCATTGACCATAGATTAGGGTACCTTGAGAGGAACCAGCAGGGTAGAGCCCTTTACCCTATGTATGATGATTATGCTCGTCGGAGCAACATTCCCGACGATGCCATCTACCCTGACTGGTTTCAGGCTCTACCCCAGGGATACGATAGGGATCCCACTGCCCATGGTATTTATACTGACTATTCTACCTTCCATGGGTACGGCCAGGACATTCCTTTTGGGGGACCGCATGGGGGAGTTTTCACGCTAACTATTTTGGTGGTAGCTCTTCTAGTGCAGGTGGTGCAGGTGGCAGCGGAGGAGGAGGGTTCGCCTCGATGGATGTGGATGATGAGGATTAGCCATGATGGGCTAGTTCTCGAGCTAATGAGGACATTGTCTGATTCTAGCTTGGGGGAGATTTTGGATTTGGTATCTTTCTTCTTTTCTTTTCTTTTGTGTTTGGTGTATTTTCTTAGATTAGATTTATTGCTTTCTAGGTTAGTTTTATTTCTTTCTTGTATGAAAAATACAAAAAAATTGAAAAATAAAAAAAAAAAATCCAAAAATATGTTCCAATGAATTGTAAATCATGCTTCCCTGTGCCCCATAATTGGAAAAAATTGTTTTGTTTCTTGGTATATGATGATAAGCACTATGGATTTGTTGATCATGATATGGAGTTTGATTGCTTAGATGACCTAACATGCGTCAATTTTGTCCAACTGCTTGTGAATATAGTGTTGACTAGTTGATTTGGTTAGGAATTGTGTGATAGTTCCTGGTATGTCAATGAATTTGAGTATTGGTTTGCAACTATAAGTAATGTTTATATGACTCATTATTATGCACATTGAGGAGGACGAAGGCATTTGTTCTTTTATGTAGCCTTCAGATGATTTTAGATACATTTGTCCCCTTCTTGCTACCTATGTTGTTTCCTTGACTTTTTGTTGTTTATTAGCCACATTACAAGCCATATTTGCCCCATCGGTTACTAGTCCCAAGCTTGGCTTGGGGGAGCTATTAGTAGTGAGGCGAGGGAGTTTGTAGTCTGCTTATTATTTGCACAATTTGGGTGGGTTTTGAGAAGTTATTTTGTTCTTGATCATAGTTTTTTTTTGATGAGTTTGAAAGTTGAATTTTCTTGAAAAAATAAAGTATGATCATATGAAAAAAAAGAAGTTCAAGAAAAAAAAAGTGAAAAAATAAGTGAACTTCAATGAAAAAAGTTCAAGTGTTTTAAGTGAAGGTTGATCAAAAGAAAGAAAAAAAATTGAGTTTCAATGAAAAAATCAAGTTTGAATAATTAAAGTTTGTTATCCGCTCAAGTGTTGCATTATTATACCTTTATGAGTGAAATTTGTAAGTGTTGGGATTGTTGTTTATGTTGGAGTTGTATTTGGTTAACTTTTGTTGGAGTTGAGTATGTTGGAGATGATTGGTCATCATTTATTTTTGACCTTTGTTTTATTAGGATTTGCTCCCTTAAGCATTGCTTTTCTCTCACATTTTCCCAAATATTTCCTACCCTTTACCCTAGCCTTATATTACAAGCTTTAAAGACCTTCCGACCTTTGTGCATAGAGTTGTATGGATGTGAAAGTGTTGTTTATCAATGCAAGTTATGATTTGACATATTTCGAGTCGACTAGTAGGTTGAGTGCTTGTCTTTTTAAACACACGAGAGTTGTGAGTTTGGGAGGGCATTGTTCACATTAAAGGGGTTGGTTTGAGAGCGATCGAGTACATCTTTTACTCGCCACATAAATGAGAGTTGAGTGTGTGAGCACTAGTCTTGAATTCTATATGCTCTTGTAGTTTGCTCTATTTGTTAATTGTTAGGGAGGAAGAGTAATTAGATGGATGAGATTGGTTGATGTTGATGCATGTTTATTAGATTTACCTTGAATTGTTTGTGCTTGATTTTTACTTTTTAGGAAGAAGCATATCTATTTATTCATTGATGAGATCTATGCTTAGGGACAAGCAAAAGTTTAGCTTGGGGGAATTTAATGTGTCTAATTTATATAGTATTTTACCCCCGTCCCTTGGTTATAATTAGTAGTGTTTTTGGCTCTTTAGAGCAACTTTTATTACTAACTGGCGTTTTCTAGTGTTTTCGTAGTTTTGGTTGAGTTTTGTAGGAAATTGCACTTTCGGAGCATTTTCCTGGGATTTTATGGAGTATCTACAAGCATTGGAGGAGCACAACCAGTTTTTATAGCCCAGGGCCGGTTACAGCCATTGAACAAGTGATTAAGGGCTTAGCATTTGAGATTGCGAGGCAATTGAACCGAGTATTCAAGACCCAAGGAGGATATTTGGTTAGGGCCGAAATTACGAGCCCAAACGAGGAGTCCATTGTAGCCCAAGAGTGCCGCCCGACCAAGAGAGCTCGAGCCCAAAAGCGCGCTCGACCGGGCGGGGCGGAGTAATTGTAGCAGCAGTTGGCGCTCGAAGTCGCGCCCGGCAGGGCGTGAGAGATGCACTTGATAGCAAAAAGGCGGGCTCGATCGGGCGGTGCCTCGCCCGATCGGGCGCGTGTCAACATTAGGAGATTTTAAGCGTCGTTTAAGTTTGTTATAGTTTAGGATTACTTGCTTTATATAAGTACGATTTCGTTAAGCAAGCTTAGTATCTCTTTTTACTCTTTCTTACTTCTTCTCTTAGACTTTCTCTCTCTACTTAGCTTATTTTTACTCTCTACACTTTATACTTTGTTCTTTACTCAACTTTTAATTCCGATAACTTTGGTAACGATTTCTTTTCTCTTAATCTCAGTTATTTATTTTATTCCTTCGGATCATGTCTTATTTTATTGATTTGATTAGTTTAGATTTAATTATGTGTGAGTAGTTTTCTTTCTAGGGTTTGTGGGGATCCATGAATAATATGAAGGGATAATTTATTGTTGTTGATTATCAATGCTAGATTAATTTCCTATTGATTGATTTAATGCTCTGTGACTAGATTAGGCCTGATCTTTTATGCATGAGTTTGACAATATTGATTCGAGATTTAAGAGATGAGAATTAATGTTTAGGTCTAGTTTCAATAGGCAGGTTAATTTATAAATGGTTAAGTCGAGATTCGAGAGATGAGATTTAATACCGGTAAATTAATTCTGTGATTGTAATACGTAGCGAAAGCCCTTTATGATATGATTAATTGATACATTGATGATTGATTGTTATGTTTTACCTTAGAATATTGTTTATTGGTGAACCTATGCCCTAGGTCTTTTATTCATTGATTTTCTCTATTCTTATTCTTTACTTTTACTCTCCGTAGTTTAGTTTCCATGTGGATTCGACCATACTTCCCTATCTGCATTAGTTAGAGGATTTAGGAATTACTTTTGATTGGGTGATACGACTTGAGCCTGTCATACTTAGCCTCCGCGCTTAAGTTACCTAAATACTTTCGTTATCGAGTCAACTAAGATAGTTTAAGATGTTAAAATCCTTGTACTGTGAGAGACAACGTTAATAGATTAAGCTCATTCAACATGCACTTAAAAAAAACTTCA